GGCCGCGCTGCGCGGAGGCTGGCGGCAGCATGGCTCGCTTGCTGGGCACCCTGAGCAGCTCCCAGCCCGTGGCTCGCTTCCAACGCTCCTGCGGGCTCTTCCCCGCCGGCGAGGAGGGCGGAGGCAGCGGCGACCCCGCGGAGGGGCCCCGGGACCGCGGCGCCTGCAATGGAGCGGGCGCACCGCGCTGCCCGGCCGGAGGGAGCGGCCCGCAGGTGAGTGCGGCGGGGGGGCCGCTGTGACTCAGCAGAGCCGCCCCCGGCACCGTGCGCGCAGGGATGCTCCGGGAGGGTCCCCCCGCATCCCGCAGCCTGCCCGGGCAGGGAGCAGGGAGACAGGGTTCTGGCTGAGAGCGAGGAGCGCCGTGCGCTGCCGCAGCCCGGCCGCATCCTGGCCCCGCCGGGGAGGCGTTTTTGGGCTCTCCGCGCTCCCCCGTCGCTGGCTCCCCCGGGATGGGGCGGTCGGTGCCGGCGGGAGTTGCCCGCAGAAGGGCCTGCGGGCCACCGCAGCCTCGGCCCCGGAGATGCGGCTGGGAAGGAGCAGCTCTGCTCCCCGCGGGTCCCTCTCCGTGCGGGGCGCGCCTGCCGCGGTGCTGAGCGCTCCCCGGTCCCTGCCCTCCGCACGGGCTGTGCCCGCAGCCGGCCCCGCTGCCCGGCCTGCGCTCCCAGAGCCTCAGCCCTGCTGATCCCGGCCGAGCTGCACATGGAGACGGGCTCAGCTCCCCCTGGCCAGGCAGGTCGCGGCGTTTCCCGGCAAGGTCTGTAATTCCCCTGTGTATCAGAAGGGAACAGGGAAGGAAGGGTATGATGCAACTCATGTGTACAGGTCGGACAAGCTGCTTTTTCTCTCACTGTAATGGCTTGGATTCATTAGCAGATCGCTTTGTGGTGCCTTTTGGAAAGCAGGTGTGATAATGGGCTTCCAAACACTACCTGCAACATAAACATGGACCAGCCATGAATGTCACAACTCTACCACTCCTTCCCTTCCATACTATTTTACTGTTCCCTGTTCACATCCAGTGCTCAGATTCCCATTTCAAGCATCTAAAATTCCTCCTTAGCTGCTGCTTGAATCTTTCTCAATTAGATGTAGTTCAGTCTGTTCACTTCTGGACTACAGTGAGTGCTCTTTTGGGTAAACTATGCAGATAATTCACTAAAAGATGTATTGCTGTATAATGTATATAAATGATATTGCTTTCTTTTGAACAGTGGCGTAGTTCATGTACCAGTGTTGATACTAAAATCCTGTCAAGTTAATGCTCCATGAATGCAGCTGTTCACCTTGAGCAATTGTTTTGGGTTTCATGAAGTAAGGCACAATTACCTTTATGTGAAGGGTGAGTGTGTTCTGAGTGATGGAACTTGGAGATAGAAGCAGAAGGGTTTGTTTCTACAGAATTATGACACAGAATTATGACATTCACTTCTGAAACATGAAAGATGGGTTCAAACACCCCCAAAACGGAAATGGGAGTAAGAGATTGAATGGTGTTTCAATTAAGTGCTAGCATTATAAAGAGAGGCTCTCTCTGTTCCTTTTTATTGAAACTGGAAATGAAAAGTCTATTTTTACAAGGAGGGTCTTCCACAACCTGACAAGAAATGTGAAAAGTGAGGCTAGGGCTCAGACCCCTTGCTTTGTTGCTAATGACCTGGGGTTCCCCTGATGTATCTGTAAATAAGCAGGTTTAGGAGTCTCATTCACATAGCAAATTCCTTGGCCATGAATTCTCTATGGACAGTGGAATTTTCTTGCTGCTAGCTGCAAGTGTTTGCAGAAAGGTGCTAAAGTGCTGCTCCTGCATCTCCCTCCTGGAGTCTCGTGTGGCTCATGATTCATCATTGCCCCTGTTTGTGTATAACCTGGAGATTAAATGTATGGTTAAAAGAAAAAAAAAGGCCCCAAGGCTTGATTACAGTGGCCAGCAGCAGCATGAGTGGCTGTGTTTCTGGATCTTTGTAAATCAGTCCTGCCTGCCCCACAGGAGTTGCCATGAGATCAGACAAGGAATGAAATGCTTAGATGTGACACCTGTGGCTGCATGTGTTTCTTAAATATTGAATCAGTCACCTAACCCATGTTCTTGATGTTCCTTGGTTACCAGATCATTTAGAATCACTTTCTAATACCTCAAATGCAAACTCTGGTGTCTGCGAATGATACAGAATGGTGTTAGTCCAACACATTAACTGGGTTTATGTCCTAGCTTGGTCTAGATATTGAATCTATGGGTTTTTAGTGGAGAAACTGCCTGGGTTTATTACTATAGAAGACAAGAGAGCAACTTCCTGTAACCATGCTGTCTCTGGCAAATACTAGTTTCTTTTCTGTACTGCTTTCTATTATTAGTTTGTTTCACAAGAAATTTATTTCTGGAATAGCTAAAAGGTATCTTTTCCTGATGCTTTGTAGGGAACTCTCAAGCTGTACTCATAAAAACACCCACCTACTACCTGAAGCTGGTGTTCTGTGAGTGGCCAAATAAAGGCCACATATATTTAAAAAGTGGAGCTTTGCTTATCACTAATCTCCTGGTGGACTTTTGCTCCTGAAATTGATAGCCTGAATGAAAGGGTACAAAGGGAAAAAACAACCTTCTATTCAAAGTTCTTTGTAGAGATTTGTCTGTCTCCACTCTTCCTTTCCCAGATGCTTTATCATCTCGAGATCTGTCTTCCTGCCTTTGAGAGAGTACAGTTCATGTTTACACTGTAGTTATTCCTTAACTGTCAGAACTGCTCCAAACCGGCGCAATGTTTACAAACTGCCTGATGATGTTTAGTGATTGTATGGCTCTTGCTCATGCTGCAGGTGAGCAGGATAATAACCAGGATAACAGCCAGGTGATGGTAACAGAAACAGAGAAGGTAGGTACAAACTGCACATCCATCTCAAACTGCACATGTATTACTGTCACCAAAAATGTGGTCGATTATTTGCAGGATATAGATGAAAACACTGTTTTTGCTGTGATGGGATGGCTGGTAATTTGAAGCATCCTTGCTCTAGAGCCTGAGTCAAGGCCTCTCTTCTGTGGTGGTCCCTTGCAATAGATTTTTGCATCAGCCTCAGAGTCTTGCTTTTTCTTTTTAAATTGTTTTGCAGGCTTACTTAGTTTCATGCTGTTTCCCTTTCCATGCAGCAGTAAGTTGGTGGTAGCTGAGGTGGGTTCAGCAGGAGAGGCAAACCCTTGTGAAAAAAGCCCATGAGCACTGCTAGAACAGTCATTTTTGCCTCAAGTACTGACACTTTGTTCCCCTAGAGAATACAGCTGAACTTTTGGAAGCTCCTCAGTTTGGAGCTGCAGCTGGGGAAACGTGAGATCCAGTTTCTTGTTTCAATGGGCTGAGCACAGGGCTCACATTCCCCAGCAGCGCTCCCGCGCTCCCGTACTCTGTGTTCCGATCTCCCCCACCCAGAGTGGCTGCTGAGGGAGCTGGACCATCCTGCACGTGTCCAGCTCTTGGTTTGAGGTTTAAGCAGCCAGTAAGGGATAGTGTTAATCTTTATGAGTGAGATGGTTTCATCGGGGAGTTTTGGCCAGCCCTGAGTGACGGTGCTTTGGAAGGTGACAGTGGAGTCACATCCACAGTGTGTGGCAGCCCTGTGAGAATCTGTTAGCACTGGGTTTGCCTCTCCTCGGGGAGCAGCCTTGCATCCCCTCTGGAGAACAGGCTGCAAAGACAGGTACCTGCCGTTTGTTACCATCTCATCTTCAGGATCTTGCTGCAGAAACACCTGAAGCTAACAAGTCTGTGAAGCTTTGCTGATAGCAGTAGAGACCCTGTGTGGTGCCTGCTGCTGAGGGAGTGGTGCTGGCACAGGGGCACCCGAGGGGCTGTGCCAGCAGCCCAGGGCTTACACTGATGATGATGATGATGTGCTTCATGACTCATTGCTTCCTGGATCACAGCCTGAGTCATCTTTTTGGAGGCCACTGGACCTCATAATGAGGAGCTGTCAGGATCCTAGGATTAATTCCAGTGCTTGGAGGTGAGCCACTTACTGCTTTATAATTCTGCTGAATGTCTTGGGCCATTAGTTTAGATATCAACCAGAATAATAAAAGTTAATCTGCTGTCGTTTTTCTCGTTTGGGTCTCTGGAGAGCAGGAGTAGATTTAACAGACAAGAAGCCAGAGAAAATGTGTTCTGGAAAATTCCTTTGGGCAGCCAGTTCTTTCAATTTCTCTTGCTTTCATGCTCATTCCCTAATGTGTATGGGTCATCTGGGCAGTGGAAGGTGACTAATGGCTGCTATGGCAAGTAAATCTGAGGTCTAGAGGGTACAGGTAGTGTTGTCTAAACCATGATGTTTTTATTTAAAATATCTGTTCACTTTCCTGCTTTAGAGGGTTTCATATCAGTCCAGTTTGGTTAGCACCTGTAACTTACTTTGCCAGGGTATACTGCTATTGGTCTAGATGTGGAGACTGTGAATGCTTCAATATGGATTTAAATCACTGATTTACTTATTTTATTACTAACCTTTGGAATATTTATTACTAGATATAAAAATGAAAACATGTATAATGTTTCCTTTTGAAGACAGCTGCCAGTTGCAAACCACTGCTAACAGAGTTCCCTGAGCCTGTGGGTTTTGGCACACATGAAGTGGTCACTACCACCCCAGGCCAGGTGGTTTTTATCCCCTTTGCAGCTTGCTCCATTGAATGGAATTATAACTACTTACTTAAGTCAACCAGTTAATGAGGAGTAGTGCCTTTAGTGTTCCCCATTGCCATTTCCCTTTGCAAAGAGAGAATGTTGGGGTACTTTATTTTACAGGAGGAGTCGGTGTCAGACACCTCAGATGTGCCACAAGAGCAAAGCCTGGATGTTTGCAGTGGAAAGGGTCCAGAGGCATCAGCAGTGAGGAGCCTGTTCCCTGACAAATATACAGCCCACCCACCAGGATCTGTGGCTTGAAGCAAAGGGCAGAGCAAGCAAAAGACTGAAAGACAGGTCTAGGGAGGAGAGGGGAGTCCCAGAAGGGCAGCTGACACCCATGTCACCTGCAGGTGTGAGGTGCCAGGGTGAATTTTGAGCTGGCACTGACTGAAGTATTAAAGCTTGCAAGCACCTGCCAAAAAAGTGCCACCAGCACTGTGCCAAGCACTGCTGGCTGGGGGAGCACCAAGGGGGCTGCAGCCACAGCAGGGCTCATTCAGTGGGGTAGGAGATGCAGGCCTTGGAGGAGCACTTGGCAA